TAGGTTTCTCACTGATGCCCCCTAACACTCTCTGCCAGACATCATCAGTGCCCTTGAACTGTCTTGAATGTACCATGAACTCCATCGAGAGCTGCTCTGATAATGGGTGCCCTGTCTCCCATGCCTTTAACTCCAGTTCTTCCCCTCAGCATTGTTTTTTCATCTAACTACTGAGATGTTGTTTACGGGAAGTCTTTTGTGGCAATCCTGCCACATTTTTCATCAACATTATTTAATGAATAGTCATCAGATGTATTTCAAATCTTCTACTAAAAAACTTTTTGTGTTACTTATATAATTGCTCAGTTAATAAGTACTAGTCAAATGATTGAACACAGTCCATACTTCAGGAAGCACAGCCTGTTTGAGATGAGGGCAGGCACACTTGGCCACTACCCTTCACACAGCTCTGTGCGAAGAGCTTAAGACTGCTCTGATCCTACTCAGCTGAAGCAAAGTTGTCCCCGGTACCCATTGCTATCTTTGTTGGCCCACGAGACATCAGTGAAAACTCGGGGGGGTAAGAACTTCTCCCCCTCCACTCTTCCCTCCAGACTTGTTTGATTCACAGTGCCGCCTGGAGGATATTGCCCGTGCTTCATTCCCCTGTAGTGCCCTCCCATTACTCAACATAGAATCCAAGTCCATCTTTCCCTTTCCTCACCCTCAGTAGGTTTCTCACTGATGCCCCCTAACACGCTCTGCCAGCCATCATCAGTGCCCTTGAACTGTCTTGAATGTACCATGAACTCCATCGAGAGCTGCTCTGATAATGGGTGCCCTGTCTCCCATGCCTTTAACTCCAGTTCTTCCCCTCAGCATTGTTTTTTCATCTAACTACTGAGATGTTGTTTACGGGAAGTCTTTTGTGGCAATCCTGCCACATTTTTCATCAACATTATTTAATGAATAGTCATCAGATGTATTTTGAATCTTGTACTAAAAAACTTTTTGAGTTACTTACACATAATTGCTCAGTTAATAAGTACTAGTCAATTGATTGAACACAGTCCATACTTCAGTAAGCGCTCTTATATTTTTAGTGCATTTCTATTACATTTGTAAAGAATTCAAGTTAACATTGTCCTGGGAAACTGCATTTTTACTTGAATGGCCAGGATGTTTCTCTGCTTTTAAATGAAAAAACAAAAACAAGGATGAGAGTGACCCCAGTCAAGCTGAACTCTTAGACTGAAGTCAGTAAGCACAAACACTATTAGCCAAAATCAAAAGGCAGCACGGGACAATTTTATTCATATTGTAAATGTCTTGTGATCAGACATGTTAGGAAAATGGAAAATCACTTCTTTGAGAATTCTTGAAATTGCTTCTTTGGTTACTTTGCCTCCAAGAATGTTTAATCTGAACACAATTTCAAGTTCACTGATTCAACACATTTCTATTCACAGATAAGATCAAGACACTGAGCTGTTAGTTGACTTAGAGTTGAATTAGTCAGACACCCTCTTTCAAACAATATACCACCTTTCCTCTGTCATAACACACATGAGCAATGACCAGTTTTCACTTCTATGGGTGAAGCTGGGGTTGTGTTCAAAATAGGTATTTCTCAGTCTTGTGAGTTGAGAGTAATGATTGCTAGTTAGTGTTCCAAATGGTACCAAAGCCTGCCTGAACATCAGGGCCAGATGGCAAGTCGGGACATTTTGGACTTCTGGTCCTAATACGATGGAATTAGAAAACAGGCCATTTCGCACTTTAATGCCCGTGGATTTTTTTTAAAATACATTTTTATTGATTTC